GCTCGTTGTTGAACCTTTAAACCGTTTCCTGCAAATACATGGTTTAACTCTTGGATTTAAATTGCTGAAACTATAAATAGTCTTCTGTAATTATTTGGGATGGTTTTGGATTGTAAATTGCTATACTATTATTTATAGGTTGTAATTTACATGGTTTGGATGTTAATTGTGGGATATTAGATATTATCATACAAGTAATTGGATTATGGTTTTGAACTATAATTGCTGTAGTGTGGTATAAACTATTCTGCAATTACCTGACTTTTGGTTTTAGTTATTAAATTGCTGTACAGTTATTGATAGTCTGTAATTTTTACATGGTTTTAGATTTAAATTGCTGAATAAATATATTCTGTCAATTACATGGATATGGAGGATTGTATGCACCGGTATGGGATGGTGACATACTAGGGGACGGTTTAGCTCAAAACGCCTAAACCTAACCTAATGGATTAAAGGAATGGATTTAAAAATATTGAATCCTAATTGTGTTAAGTCAAATCAACTGCAACTAAGTTGAGTGGCTTCCTGGATTAATGGATGATAGTTAAGTCATATCAACTGAATAAGTTAATAGACTAACTAGCTTATTTATTGTATATCGGTTCAATAAATATTTGAACTACATACCCTGGTTTTGGACGGACTTTATATATATGTTTATGGTACCACGAGATGACCTTGAGCCTCAGACTCGTTGGTTAGGGTGCGTATATGCAGTGGATGCGTAGCTGGCTATAGTAGGTTGATGTGTACCCTGTTAGGTCTAGGTACTCATGCCCACCTTTGGGTGCGTTTTCGCATGTTGCCTTCTATTCAGGTTGAGACCCCTACTGTAGTCCAGTGAATGTCCCTTAGTGTGGATATATATATATGTATGGACTAGATAGCTATTGTTGGGATATTTAGGGTGTATCTGCGTATCGAGTCACTGTTTGGATTGTAGTTAGAGAAGAATTTGCATGTGGGCCTGACCCACTCTTATTTTTACAGGTGTTTGTTAGTTCCAGACTTGGAGCTGGATCGTGCTGAGCAGATACAATTATTCACTCCACCGATGACCAGGGTTTTAATTTATATTTTAGACTTGGGATTCATTTCCAATCTTTTGAGTTCAGAGAGATTTTAAGGGTCCACTAGATGAATTCCCGAGTCGTAATAGGAATAGAGAAGTAGGATGTATCAGAATCATTCTTTGTTAATTAAATTTTATTCTGAGGTTTTTGGATTATTATTCTAGTTTCTTTTCAGCGATTTATTTATTCTTATTTTTTCTTATTTGTATTCTGTGTTCGATTATTGCTAATTGATTTGATATCCTCGGGTTATCGGGCGTGGGCCTGGCCAACCCGCATCCGGAAATTCGGGGGTATCACAGTCGTGATGGCCGCTGCGATCGTCGCAGCAGTTGAGAGTGAACGGCGAGATATAGTTGATCAGAATTACGTCGTCGTCGACAATGGCAACGGATGTTTGGTCAGCGAGAGAGCTGGATATGGCTCTAATCGCCGATGAGGTCGAGGAGTAGTGTCCGATTGATCACGAGAATTCGGTGCAGATGAGTTTAAGTGTGTCAAAGAAGAACTCTTCCCATACATATGCAGGAATGTAAATTCACACACCAAGTCCAGTGTATATATATGTGTTTGTAGAATCTCTCTAATTTTATGCGAATAAAACTACCCACAATGCTATATTTTCACACAAATTTCCCCCGTGTTCAATTTTTCTTTTCAACCAAACAAGTCAATATAAACAAATCAAACAACAATTACAACAGAATGCTCTAAATCTAAATCAAAGGAAGATGGAGATGAATATGGGTTTCTGGTGCTTAAAATCAAAGGAAGATGGAGATGAACAGTAGACCCACCAACTCAAGGGTATTTTTGTAATCTTACAATAATGTTATAAGTTTTAAATTTTCAATTAACTTAGAAGGGTAGTTTTGTCATTTCGGGGCAACTTGATGGGTTTTGTTAGTTCAGGGGGGTATTTAATTTTAGTGGGGGTATTTTGAATGAAAAAATTAGTACAGGGGGTTATGTATAATATACTCTGTGTGTGTGTGTGTGAACACTACCAATCATTTTTATTGTTTAATGTTCTTTCATGTACAGTATAAATTTTGAGTCGTCCAAGCAAGTAACTGTAAGGAGAGGGCCAAAATTATCTTGACTCTCGAATGCGGTTGGATCGGGTCTCAGAGGACAATATACTTATTTGTAATTTATATACTAAAATTTTGGTTTTTATAAACATGCCCTCACTAAACTCTTAAAAAAAATACGTTAAGAAAAACTTCTAAAATTCAAAAAGACATCTTATTTTCTAACTGATTTGCCAACAATTTTTTCAAAATTCGAACAAAAAAAACCAAGTCATTTCTCTTCCAACAGGTCCCACAAAATTTTGAAGAATTAAAATTCAAAAAATATATCTCCTTTGTAATTTATTATTTTGGTGTATATATATATATATATATATATATATTATTGTAATGGCTGCCTCCTCTCAACTAAATTTATGACTCCATGCTGGACAAGAGAATTATTTTTTATAAATGTTTTTGATGCGTTAGATTGAATGTCTCTCAGGCTGTGTTTAGCGGTATGGAATTGAAGTCTTAGAATTGAAATTTTTAGAATTGGAAAAAATTTTGGTTCATTTTTCTTAGTTGCTTTTTTTTAATTCCACCAATTTCAATTACAAAGTTTCAATTCCATGTCTGTCAAACATAACATCATATATATTATGTCTATATTAAAAGTAAATTTGGAGCTACCTGCTTAATTAATTCATTAACGTCACATTTTGATGAATTAGAGTTGTGTTCTTGTATTTTATTTTGGTAAGAAATATGGGGCGAGATTGATGAACCATAAGATTAAGAAGATTATGAAAAGTCCAAGAGAGTTTTGGCAAGGTCCCTAAGAATAATGCCTTGAGGTGAGGACACCAATAAAGAACACACAATGCACCTTCAAGGCTTTCTTCAGCATTGCCATCCTTATTACAGCTGGGATTTGAACCAACTTATTAAATGTCATACGACTCATACCTAATATCGAGTCTTAATTTCGAAATTCAAATAAGAGATGGAGTGGGTTTGACGATCCTCTCTCAGTGACTCATCGACTTGAGAATGAAATGAAATAATCATTTTAAAAGACGTATATATATGAATGAAATAATAATCATTATTTTATGTTTACTCTCATTTAACTTTTTTACACGGAAAATATTGAGACTCAATTTTTTTATTGCTGCAAATTTAGAAGTTGTTGTTCTCATTGGTAGTGGAGGGCAATGGCAACGAAAACCCGTGGTTATGGTGGTAGTACCAGTGGTGGTGGCCAAGAATTTTATTTATTGGAATGAATTTTCATTCCATCAGTTTAGACATGGAAATGTATTTTTATTTTTTTGAAAAGATTTCCATTCCAAAAAAATGGTCATTCCCACTTTAAAATGTCATACTTCAAGAGAATGGTTAGAATGAAATACCCATTTCATTTATGAGTACCAAACTAGGCCTCAGAGTTACAATACAAATTACTCATGTTTTAATTTCATTCGATTGCTTGTTTATCTCTAATTAATACAAGAAGATATTGGATGAGCCGAGCATACCATATAACGTCATCAACTAGAATAATCATTTCAGTTAACCGAAGGAAGTTTTTTTATTTTGAGTATGATACAATGGTTTATTCATATTGGGTGAGCATGCAAATGACATGATATACATACCGGGTGCATCAAATATTTAATACTAAGGTACTGTTTGATAAAACTGAAAATTAAGTACTAAAAATTTTAAGAGATTGAATTTTAAGTGCTGAAGTTTTTAAGTGTTAATTAAAAATTAAATATTTTTTTAAAAATTTCAGCGTTTACCATTCAGTGATAAGTGATATCTCTATCATTTAAAATTTTATCTCATTTTAAATAGTACTTACAATTTTTAATGATATTCAAATTGATTTATCAAATGCATTTAATTAAATAAATATCTAATACATTCAGAATTAAATATTAAATTGAATTTTCAAATAGTAACTAAATTTGTCCTTAGAATATTTAATTGATTGAAAACATAAAGCTGCTGCGAGCAATATATATATAAACTACACGTGCGTACATGTTGATAGTCTCATTTATTTATTTTTGAAAGGTCTGTAGATAATCTTATTGCAAGTTTAATGGTACGTGGTAACCCAACCATTTAATATTATTTAAAAAGAAGAAGAAGGAAAAAAAAAACATTTAAAATCTTTAGTACTGCCTGCATGCATGTTTGCACATAGTAAATACCACGCTAGCTAGCACTTAGCATGCGCTAAATTACTCTAATTAATGGACGGCGCCACCTCCTAATTTGGTAACAGTTGGTTGAACAACTCACCAATCACGAGCCTATCTATACATATCTATGTATAGTGAATTATAAGGTGATAAATATATATAATTTAATTTGTTAAATTTTGTATGGACCAAAATGTACAGTCACTAAACGGTTCGTAGATCATGAACTTTTATTTATTTATTTATTAAGCAAGCATGCTCTTTCAAACATATGCGTGCTTGCTTACAACTTGAAGTTTCAAACACATGCGTGATGTATCATAGAATGTGACCAAAAGTCCACGTTTGAAGAATATGGTAGCTAGTCAAATCAACGTTTTGGAGGTCATTAATTAATCTTGAACCTAAAATGCGATAAAAATGAAGGGGATGACATTTTAGTAATTTCGCAGACAATGAATCGTCACAAGAAAATTTAGAACACCAAAAAAGAAAGAAATAAAGACACTGTTGTTGCATACGTTATACATTTACATGCAAGTAAGAGGTTTTGAATTTGAACTACTTTTCATTAATGCGAGAATTTAAGGCAGTTGAAATCATCCACCTACACATAACCATGTTCGTTGTGGACATTAACTATCCTCCACCCACCTCCATTGCTTATATATCCTCAACCCCCCCTCTATATATCTATCTATCTATCTATATACACAAACCAATATATGTTCTACCACCACCATTCCAATCCCACAAACCAATGTTATACTAGAGTACTAAACTAGTTGTGCTTAATTTGATGAGATGGAGCGATCAAAAATGGCGGGATCGGAGCATCATTTGTTGCAGACCGAAATCGTTAACCGGGGGATCGAGTCGTCGGGGCCTGATGCCGGATCACCGACGTTCTCAGTGAGGGTGAGGCGGCGGTTGCCGGACTTTGTGCAGTCGGTGAACCTCAAGTATGTGAAGTTGGGTTACCATTATCTGATAAACCATGCCATCTATTTGGCCACCATACCGGTGTTGGTGCTGGTGTTTAGTGCTGAGGTGGGTAGTCTTAGCAAGGAGGAGCTGTGGAGGAAGGTGTGGGATTTGAGCACCACTGCACCTTATGATCTTGCCACTGTGCTCTCTTTCTTTGCTGTCTTTGTGTTCACCCTCTCAGTTTACTTCATGTCTCGTCCTCGCCCCATCTACCTCATTGATTTCGCCTGTTACAAACCCCATGATGATCTCAAGGTATATATATATATATATATATATATATATATATATACATACATTTATATATATGTATATATATATTAAATTATTTGTTTTATGAACTAACAATTTTTTTTATCATTTTATCATGTTACTAATGATCAGAATAGTGATAAGAGTAGTCGAAACTGTTCAACCAGAATGGTGACAGCAAAAATAAAGACTCTAAATAGATGCAGTAAAGTGGGATTAATTAATTTCACTTACGCATCAAGGACTCTTGTTCTTTTGGCTATTGAATATTATTGCATATTGCAAGTCAAATCAGTCAATTACGATATTAAATATTTCAACTCTTAATATTTTTGCATGCAGAAGTCAAATCAGTCCATATTGTTTTATGATATTACATATTCCAATTCATATTTCACCGATTTTAATCCAATTTTTTTCAATACTTAATTTTTTATTTTTATTTTTTTAACAATATTCAATACTTAAAATTGAACACTTATGTGGTAATTTGCTGATTATATATTATATACATATATCAAATTCAAGGCATATATATGATGAGTTCGTATACATGCAAGAATGATTAGATTATTATATTCATTTATATTAATATTAATCACCCTCTAATCTAAAATTTTCTAAGAAAAAGTTGTCTTGACGCATGTGCCAAATTTAATGAAGGTGTCCAAGGAAGAAATGGTGGAACTAGCTCGAAAATCCGGAAAATTTGACGAGGCAAGTCTTGAATTCCAGAAGAGAATTCTGCAGTCATCCGGCATTGGAGACGAAAGCTACGTCCCAAAAGGAGTGATAAGTTCGCCGGATAATTGCGCGACGATGAAAGTAGGCCGCGAAGAAGCATCAATGGTGATGTTCGGAGCCCTCGACGAGCTGTTCGAGAAGACCGGTGTGCGTCCCAAAGACGTCGGGATCCTGGTGGTGAACTGCAGCATATTCAACCCAACTCCATCCCTGTCGGCCATGATCATAAACCACTATAAGATGAGAGGGAACATCCTGAGCTTCAATCTTGGTGGCATGGGTTGCAGCGCTGGCATCATAGGGTTGGACTTGGCACGGGACATGCTTCAGGCCAACCCGAACAACCATGCGGTGGTGGTCAGCACTGAGATGGTGGGCTACAACTGGTACCCGGGACGACAACGGTCCATGCTCATTCCCAACTGCTTCTTCCGGATGGGCTGCTCCGCCGTCCTCCTCTCCAACCGCCGCCGTGATTACCATCGCGCCAAGTACCGCCTTGAACACATTGTTCGCACTCACAAAGGCGCCGATGATCGCAGCTTCAGGTTTATTAATTCGTTCAATTATTTTAGACCAGTTAGAGAATTAAAAAATCTGAAATTTGTGAAATAATATGCTTGTTTGATAATTATTTAAATCTGTTAAAAATTCAATTAAGAGAACTATTATAAGATAACAGCTCTTTCCTAATTTCCTTTATAATTCTGTATAAATAATTATTATTTTCTGTACTTTTGAAAACCATTTTTAGAGAACTCAAGCAATTAAATGTTTCGAATGCCTCTAACCATAAAGTTATTCGGATCATGAATTACTTCATAATAGATCACTTTCATACATATTTAATTTCATTAATTTTGTCACTGATTCATGTGTTAATGTGTTTGTGTGTCTATATATATTATATATATGTCTGAGATAGTAGTCTCCCCAGTCCTTCATGATCATAAATTCATTAGGATTAATTTAACCAAAGTGATTGCAGAACTAATATTTTTTAAGTTACTGATTTCAAAAACCATATAATCATATATGCTTCATGAAAACTATGCTTTCTCAGATGGCCAAAAGGTAGATGGTTTGTGAATTTTTTTTTATTTTTTTTATCTATTATTAGTATTATAGTATGATAAGAGCTTTTCTTACTCTCTCTCTCTCTCTCTGTGTATATATATATGTACATATCAAATCCTGTTACACAAGTTAAAAGCCAAAGAAAAAGAAACTGTAGTGTTGGTTGCAATTAATTTTTTGGTATTAATTCCCAACTGTCTCATTGATGAACTTGGCCCGATGTGGACCACCTGCTGAGCGGTTGCTCTTAATATTTAACGTAAGTGTATTCGATGGATCATATAAATGAACTCAACAATCAACTACTGCAATATTAAATGCAAAGGATATGAATATATATTGATGTAATTACTTGTCTTATTCTTTTCCCTTAATTTTCTGTTCATTTTAAGCAAGACTGAATGTTTCATTGTCCAATTTTAGACTCCGGAGGAGTCAAATTCAGGCCATCATAGGATGGGAGTTAGCCTAGCGGATGTGGTTCTCGTCATTATAGAGTCTAGATGGTTTGATGTATGCAACTTTAGCTCCACGTGGAAAGGTTGTTTTATGTTTCGAACCGTAACCTCTTATTGTACCTAATTAATTGCTATATACTACCTGATCAAAATTTTGCATTGATCCCAAGATTCTGGACCTGCCAAATTATAAGTTTCTGTAAATTAATCGAGCTGTTTATTAGTTGGTGTCTGGATTTTGTTGGCACACACACATATAAGTACATAATTACGATTCATCATCTTGCAGGAGTGTTTATCAAGAAGAAGACGATCAACGGTTCAAGGGTTTAAAAATCAGCAAAGATCTGGTGGAGATAGGGGGTGATGCACTCAAAACCAACATCACCACACTAGGGCCTCTGGTGCTGCCCTTTTCTGAGCAACTCATCTTTTTCGCAACATTAGTGTGGAGGCACTTGTTCGGTGGTGGCCAGGGCTCGCAGCAGCCATCGAAGCCCTACATTCCCGACTACAAGCTTGCATTCGAGCACTTCTGCGTGCACGCAGCCAGCAAGACAGTGCTGGACGAGCTGCAGAGGAACCTGGAGCTGAGTGACAACAACATGGAAGCCTCCCGGGTGACTTTGCACCGCTTTGGCAACACCTCCAGCAGCAGCATCTGGTACGAGTTGGCCTACTTGGAAGCCAAGGGGAGGGTTAGGGGCAGCGACCGTGTCTGGCAGCTCGCGTTTGGCTCCGGTTTCAAATGCAACAGCATTGTTTGGCGATCAATGCGCCGCGTTAGGAGGTCTTCAAGGAATCCTTGGCTGGAATGCCTCGACAGGTATCCTGATCAGGCTCTCTAGGCAGACTGGCCTAATAGGCATATGTTTCTACTTATAATGAAAGAAAAAAAACACAGAACTTGCAAATGGCATAGTAATTAACTCAGCCGAGTCAATTGATGTCATAGGTTTTGGTTTTCCAACCACTTCCATCATATATCTACCCAATGTTTGATTAGTTTAATTATATCAATGCTTGTGACTATTCCCTTCTTTTTAATGTCTCTTTGAGACTGGTATGTACTACGTAGTACAGGTCATGCAAGCTGGAAACAATTAGCACATGACAGTTGTAGTAATCTTTATTTGAGTTCAATTGTAGACAATGCTATTGTGAATTTATGACCACCGATTTAATGTTCACAACTATCTGCCTATCTCTGTATTTATTTATTTCTATATTTTCTTTTTGAAATATTTCCTGCCAGATCACTGGGAAAACTTTACATGTGAATTCCACAAATCAGGATTTATATATGGTTTTGCAATTTACATGTTTGAGTTTGATGACTTGTGTAACCCTTCTTTTTGTTAATTGCATCAATCTTATTTAGACTTCAATTTCTCAACTAAATGTAAGCAATCCAATTTTGTCCATTTTTCTTTAAAAAAAAAAAAAAAAAAACAAAACAAAAATTTAGAATGTTGCATACCTAATGATTTACCAAGTGAAGGAGATGGTTCACTGGGCGTAGCATTTTTGTATTTTTATTTTTACATAAATTCCCAGCATCAATTACTCTCTCTAAACACTTAAATGAAATTCCAAAAAAAAAAAAATACCCTCTAAACTGAGAAATAATTATACAAGTCATAATGCTCCTTCTGTGCTCATCAGTTTATCCAACGATGTACAAATCCATTGCCACGGACAAACACTATGAAGTATTTGTAGAGAGTTCAGAATGGATCCTATTCAACTTCAACTTTCTTCAACTATTAATTAGCTTCAGGTGGTGGCCGCGGTGCAGTGACGGACCCAAAAAATTTTGTGAAGGGAGTGGACTTCTAATTTGTGAGAGCAAACTTATATAGTAGGTCAATTTTTATAATTTCAATTGGGTTTTTTCATAAATTTCAAAAAATGTAAAGTAAAAAATGCAAAAAAAAAAAAAAATCTGGGGCCGAATTGTAATTTTAGTGTGGAATTTTCATAAATTCTTAAAAATTTAAAGTATAAAATACAAAAAAAAAAAAAAAAAAATTCAGTGGAGGTAAATTGTAATTTTAGTGGTAGCATCTTCATAAATCTTAAAAAAATTAAAGAATAAAATAAAAATATAAAAAATTTAGTGGGGGCATCTGCCCCCCCCCACTCGTCCAACGTTGAGTTCGTGCACGGTGGTGGACATTCCTACACCTGCACTGCTAGCTTTTATTTTCATGTTTTAAGTTTTAAAATAAGAGGTGTCACTAGGTCACCTGTATTGGATTATCCTATTTGCTACATTTGTTCAAGTATTATTTGGTTAAATTTTGTTTAATGGGAAATAAATGAGGAAGGGAAGTGTTATAACTCTCTTTTACCAAAACAAGGGAGGGGAAGTGCTCCACTTCCTCCCCCTTTCCTCATTTCCATTCCTTCCGTACACTTCAATTCCTTCCCATCATAAATAACATTCACATCCACGCTCTAACTAATTTTCAGTGGGTGGAATAGTGAATAGTACATTACAGTATTATACTAAAATATAGCAAATTCACGCAGTCGAGCATAGACTTAAGGGATTGTTTGTACTGAGTCAAACCTTAAGGAGCTTTCTTTGGATGCACTATGGGGAGGGACTCCGACCCATTTCACAGTTTATGAAACGGATAACAAAAAAAGGGACGGGAGTAGTAAGGATCGAGCCCAAAATTTCACACAAAACATAGGCCCAACAGCGAAGCCCAAACAAAAGAGAGAATACGATGGAACAATCCAAGATCCCAACAAAGACGTCAAGCCCATCAAGCCACACAAAACAGCTAAAATCCAAAGCAAAGTTGAGCAGGATTGGGCAAAAAATGTAGGCTCGGATTGGATTTGGAATCCAATAAGTGTCATTTTCTAGCATGGTTTGATATGATAATGCAGGTGAGCAAGTGATCTCTACTTTTGGCTTGTGATTTTTACTCACAGTTAATGTAATTCAATCACAAATAAATAAATAAAATACATAGGGTGATTGAATTTATTCCAAAATAAATTATTTTTCTTATTTATTACTTCCCCAATTTTGTAATTAAGGAGAAATGAAATATGCTAATGTGGTTGTATAAAAGACAAAACAATTTGACACATTTGTGTATCTTAACAGATTGGTGGAGTTAAAAAAATTTACATATTATACGTGATCGCGTATGTTTTACACAAAAGAATATTTTAACCGATCGCTGAAGATGCTTTTATCACTAGATGATTAGAAAAGGAGATAAATTATATGAAAAAAATAAGTCAGAAGAAGAAAATTAAAATATGAAAAAAATATTTCATTTTTTATTATATATATATATATATAAAGAGAGATAAATTATAGATGGATTTCAATAATATGTAAATATTAGGTATTATAGAATTAGGTAATATAGTCATAACATATTATGCATTATATAATATCGCATAGAATTGATTATATATTATTAAATTTTTAAAAATAAATCGGTTATAATTTATATTTAGTTTCTTTAGTTAATGAATTGGTATTAGATTTGGAATATAACACTGTACTTACACACCCAGTAATAATGGTATTTGAGTTTATCAAAATATAACAATTAAATAATGGTATTTGAACGCATAAAGTGATATTGACCCTTTCATTATTAGTATTATACACAATAATATCCAGTAATGATGGTATTTGAGTTTATCAAAATATAAAAATTAAATAATGGTATTTGAAAGCATATAGTGATTTGGACCTTTTCATTATTAGCATTTTATACAAAAATATTCAAATTACTTTCAAAACTGTTTTCGTTACTAATTCAATTTTGAGAATTGTTAAATAAGTGCCTCTGGAATTAACGATCTCTTTTATACACACACACATATGCTGTACAAGATGCATCAAATGTAAAATTATTTGGTAATTTTTTTTCCCTTTTTTCTTTTCATATACACACCACATGGGTATTTTTGTACAAGTCCAATTATGCCCTAGACTCTAAAACCCTCATTTATTGTTATAAAAGGTTTTAGAACCCTCCGCCCTAAAAAAAAAACTTTAGGTTGGGAGAGTGTCAGAGAGTGTTTTTTCAGCTGAGACCCAGCAGAAGAAGAGAGAAGAAAAGAAAAAGATGGTGGCGAAATCGTTAACGGCGCCGGACTACGAGGCGTTGAGAGAGCTGTTCAGGCACCACATAGAGTCTTTCGATTACATGATCGAACGCGGACTGGAAGAGATGCTCATGAAGATCAAGCCAATCCAAGTCTACAAAATCTCTTCCGAGGAAAAGAAAACCCTTCGAAATATCCTTTCATTCATTCATGCCCATGTGTGTATATGCGATTGTACACACACACATATATATATTTCTTTTGTTTTTTTGATTTAAATGTATATTTCTTGACTTTATCATACTCTGGTTGGGGAAACCGGAGTTATACCGACCTCTAAAGGAAAACAAGTCCCGGATAAAGCTTGAACAGTTGTATCCTTCCGAAGTAAGTCTTTGCCTTCCCATGTATTAATCTTTACCATTGGTCTCTAATTCACCGATTGTATGAATTTTACTGAAAACAGTGTAGACAAGCTAGAATTTCATATGACGGGAAGTTCTTGATTGATGTTTGCTTTCAATACGGGGATGTTGGGGATGCTGTTATAAGAGAAAAGTTCAATTTTGGGCAGCTTCCTATAATGTTAAAGGTTAGTTCTACTTTATGCTATTTCCCAATTTTATCACAGGTGCTAATGTGCTATCTATCTCAATGCTAAAAAAAACATGCCTTTTTATTAGAAAATGTCAGCTTTGGTAACTTTGATTTTGACTCTTTTGAGTTGGTGGTTGGTACAAATGGTGCATATGGCGAAGAAGTGACTTGCCCTTGTGGCATTTGTTAGATTTGGATTGCTGCTGATGGATATAGTGTTCTACTGATGTTCTATATTCAGAAAATTTGGACAGAACAGTAAAATGGGTAAAAAAGTATGGAATAAGATTATAGAGGACTAGACCAATTAACAAGTTTATCTGAAATAATAATATAAGCTGAAATGATCTGCGTTAAAGATCAAACTGAGGATAATTGCTGCAGCCAATTTTTTTGATTGACTGGTTCTTTTATTTTTGAATTCTGATTTGTTTAATTTTGGAACAATATAACATCAAATAACAAGGGAAATATTACCCCATCGTTTTCTTTAAGCTTTACTGAATTAATAAATTTTTGGTGTTTGACTTATATGACAATGATTTGCGTGTCGGATTTAGCAGAGTAAAAATTTAAAATCTTGTGGACAACGCAGTATAAGCTGAATTTGCAGTTAGTGAAATTTTAATTTCCTAATAAAACGATAATTTTCTTAAATCATGTCTTCAGTGTTTGAGCTGACTTTTTATCATAAGACTGACTTTTGCACAAGTTATAGTTGCACAATAACTACGGTATATATTTATAAATTTAGTTGTTTCTTATAGCAAAAGCACAGTTTGTCTGAACAATAATTACGTGTGTTCTTCAATGTTGCATGCTGACTTCAGATTTTTCGACATATGTATTTAGATTTGTTTGCTAATGATTTGAAAGCCAATGCAAAATCGGTTAATTTACAACCCAAAATGATTCCTGATCATTGTCTAAGAGAACGTTTATTTGTGAATTATTATTGTTCACACATACGATCTTGATCTCGTTTTTAGTTATCATCTAATATTTGATGCGTGGAAAATATAATATGCAGTCAAAACTTTGTTACTTGAGAGGTGCTGATCCGCATGAACTAGTTTCTCGCAAAGAAGAGTCATCAGAAATGGGTGGGTAAGTACCTCAATTTTTAATTTTTTATGTGATTAGAAATCTGATTGATTCATTCATTAGCAATATTTATTCTTCTTGTTGTTGCTGTTATTATTATTACCACCACCACCACCCCCCCATGATTGGCATTGCATTAGCTTTAGGCTTCTAATCATATATACACTATCTCAATATTTATTCTTGTTGTTGTTGCTGTTATTATTATTGCCACCCCCACCAACACCCCCCCCCCATGATTGGCATTGCATTAGCTTTAGGCTTCTAATCATAAATACACTATCTCAATTTTTAGGCTAAAGGCCAGTAGGAAGGTGAATGGTAAGGTTATGGAAATGGGTTTTAAAGCTGGTTATGTGTTGAATGTTGAATGCTTTAACACCACTTACACTTTTTGGTAGCTGAAAAAGGGAGGATTCAATGAAAAGGGAAGTATTAATTAATATAATGGAGAGATAAAGGAAACAAAAGTGATGTCCTTTCCCCTATTTTGGCATATGAAAGAATTTATTTAAGAATCACTTTGTTCACAAGGAGAATGGAAATTAAAAAATAGAAATAGGAAGGAAACAAGTTGTTTTATCACTATTCTCTTTTTTCGAGAGTTTGGATTATTAGCACTTTAAAAGAATCGAATATAATCCCATCATTTATTTTCATGCAATTCAAATATACTTCTATAGGTCAAATTGGTACAGTGCATCAAGTATATTGTGTGATTCACAATCGGCGTATCCCACTAAGATTGAAAGGAAAGTTCTATAAAAAAGCAATCAGATCAACTGTCAGTTACAAAATGACACATGCATAAAGTGAGTTGCATAAATGCGAATGTTGAAATGGATATTTTAAGACAAGAAAGGATAAATCTAAAATTGAATATACTCGTGAGATGGTTGAAGTAGCACTAATTGGAGATATGAGAGAAAATATATTAAGATGGTTTGAACGTGTGCAGACCGCTAAATGTGCCAGTTAGGAATAGTGGCATTGTCCACATTGAGGTAATGTTAGGGGAATGCCAGGACCAAATTAACGTAGGTAGAGTAAGGAAAAATATGATAACTTGTGGTTTGAGTGAGGCTATAATAATAGATAGATTGAATGGAAAAATAGGATTCATCTAGCCAACCCGAAGTAGTTGGGAAAAAACTTATCTTGAGTTGAGCTGAGTTGTGGGTCAAATAGCAACAGTAGGAAACCATAATTTTTTCAAAAGGTAGATAACATAATTACCATAAAATGAATGAATCTTAACCACGACAAAAAATAAATGGACCAAAACCAAACAAAGGTTCAACTTATAAAGTCATATAACAACTGGAGAAAAAGAACGTATGACTCTTTACTAGCCAAAAATAAAATAAAAATAAAAATGTATGACTATAGTTGTTGAAGGCACGCCTAGGCTCCAAAAAAGTCCCAGGCTCTTCAAGGCTCAGCTAGAGCGCCTTTACTTAGTACAAGCCAAGTCCTTTCATTCAGACTCACATAAAGCCCTTAGTCTCACGCTTTTTGGTAGGCTCCAGGCTCAAAAAAGGGGCGCCTGGTATTTATTTATTTTTCATTTATTCATATCATTTTCCCTTTTGTTTAGTGACCACTAAATTAAAATGTTCTATATCATATATTGTATTGTTTAAACTTATGAAATATTTGACAAATTTCATAAATTTATGGTTCACTACATACATTAATTGCAGTTAGTGCTTGATTCTGAATATATATAATAATAGATGTTTAAATATGCAATATTATTGTATTACACAGGCGCCTCGATCAGGCTCGCGCCTGTATTGTTCCTTGAGCTTAGGCTCCAGAAGGCCTTTGGTGCCTTAGTGCGCCTTGAGCCTTTAACAACTATGTGTATGAGTTATTTATGAAAAATTTGTTTATGATTTTGGGGGCAATATCATTTATTAACATTTGATTTTATTTCCAGAAGCAAATTGTTGTACAACATGTTTACATAAAAATGAAGGATTGTTGTATCAGAAATATTCGATTCAATTGTTTCTGCAAGTATTTCGCGTATAGCAGCTCAGTATATTTGAATTGCTAGAAAATTCCATTACCTTGGTCTCTATCCCACTGGCTCAATTTGTTTTTATCCCCAAATGTTTAAACCAAGAAACTCCTAGCAAACATGTTTATGAACTATAAAATCACCAACCCTAAGGAAGAAAACTCACGTAACTGATAGCCAAATGTGCACCAATTTGGTTGACAAGAAAATAAAATTTGTAAAACATTTAATATCTCAAATTGTACTAATTTCCATCACACTTCTGATTTCAAAAAAGAAAATCTGAAATTTGAAGATCTAGAAGGGTTTGGTTGACCATGTCTCCATAAAAGTAGACATCTAAGATATGAAATGGATTTGTACCCATTATTTCTTTAGTAGGGCTCCACATTGATATTGCTTGTTTTGCCGTTCTCCAAGTGCATTCGGAGGGATCAGCCTGTCACATGCATTGTAAATGTGTATTTTTGCTTTATTTTAATGGTGTTTCTGAGCTAAAGCATTGTTGTTGGTAATGGACTGTTCTTGTTAGAATGCAATTTCTTAAGTTCTTGTAGCTTGCTGCACATTTACTTGTTTCTATTTTGGACTGTAAATTTTCTTTTATGTACTTCTGAATTGCGACAATTTTTTATTCTGTTTTCATATACTGTTTTATATTTGTACTTGGCTTCATTCTGGTATTATAAGTGTCAAACTTTACAAAGAGAATTCTTTCAACCCCCACAAACACACACACACACACACACACACACACACCGCCGCCACCACCCTCACCCCAAAACCCACAAGAAAAAAGAGCGCTAATCTAATTGTCTTAATTTATATATTTCCAGGTACTTTATTTTAAATGGACTTGAGAGAGTCATTAGGCTTCTAATATTGGCAAAGAGGAACTATGTAAGTAAACTCTTCTGCACTGGAATTTTTTTTTTTGATTGGTTTTGTTCAATGTTCCCAAGTTCTGGGGCAGATATTAACAAAGGTTTATTACCAGAAACAAAGTTTAATACTACTTATAAAATATGTCCAGCACTACTATACCTACTTAAATCAAATTATTCGTCTTTTTTTTTTGTTTGTTCTGTTCTGTTGCAGCCAATGAGCATGGTGCGAAGTTCATTTCGTGAGCGACGGGAAGGATACACTGATAAAGCTGTTGTCATAAGGTTCTCTCTCCATATCCTAGGCATGCAATTTCTTCTCTTGATTGTGATTTTATTATTTGATTGTGATATTATTATTTATGGACGTCCTACAAGATCATTTGATGGCATTTGCTTAAAATAAAATCATACAAGTGATTGCTGCCATTATATATGTATGTATGCTTTTATGCACCACTCTTTTGCTGGCTTTACTTGAAATAATATAGTATCTGAAGAAATTTTGAATTAAGCATTTTGCAAATTGAAGGTGCAAAATTTTATTGCTCCTTACCTTGCTTGAAAATCTTATGCAGTTCTTAGTGGCTCAGATGAATAGGGTACAAGGGGAACTAATGAGGAGAGTGATTAGTATCTTTATACCGGAATGTGTGTAAGAGGAAGACTTTGCAAGGCAAAGGGGTTTCCAAGGATTCTCTTCAATAATTAGTTGAACTGTTTGCTGGTTAGAATTTAGGGCGAAAAGAAGTGCAATTGAGGAATGCATTATGAAAACAAACCTTGATATCTTGTTATAGGAAACTATAAGTAGAATCTTCTGATAGGAAGATAGTGAAAAGTGTTTGGAGGCGGCTACTTTTACTAGATCTGTCTTCCAACTTTTTTTGGTTACTAGGGTGGTTTTTTGGTTATTTAGGAAATTTTGATTTCTTAATTTTTGGTAGTAAATAAATGGAACTCTTTTTTCTGCGAGGTTTCTTTTAGGAGATTTGGATTCCTGGTGGACTAGTGTGGTTCGTGGGCAAATAGGCTCAGATATTGACCCGCTTTTGCAATGATTTTTATGACATCCATGGTGTGTGGCCGGGGATTTGATGTCGTTAAGAGGTCTAACATGTAGGTGGGGAGTTCTAGAGCATGAGAGGCTTTCAGGAGTTCATTTGTAGATGTCTTCTTGATGAGTCACTCAAGAATGTTTCATCCATGAAAGTGGTTTCCCTCACCAATAACGACTGCATTTAAACTTCCCCATGTCTGTCGGAAAACTTTTCCTACGACTACTTAAGACCATTTTCCTAGTGTTGGGATCTAGTCCAATCAAATCTGGTGCAATCTTTTTTGGTTGCAATATAGCTCCCTCACCAATACTTCTAGTAATTTTGGCTCTTAGATGTAATATTAGTTGGGTAGCTAGGAGTTTAGTTCTGTATATGTTAGAAAAACTCAGGACCAAAATTATAAAGTTGCACATGGAGGTATTTGGGGGTACAAGGGAAGAGAAAGCTATGTTGTTGATAGGTTATTATAACAAATGGTTAATTTCATATGTTTACGTTATAATAGTTGTTTTAACCATTTGAATTTATTTCAAGCCCAAGCCCAACAATCCAAAACGAACCCATTTGTTATTCGTTGTAAGGAGGAGGAGATCTGCAAAGGATTTTCAGAGTTTTTTGAGAAGTTGTTCACAGAGACTGTTGAGTGGAGACCTTTGCTTGAAGGGATGCAGTTTGACTCTATTTCTGAGGAGGAGTGCTTGGGCTTGGAGTTGCCTTTTTCTGAGCAGGAAGTTTTGATTGCTTTAAAGAGTTGCAATGGGGATAAAGCCTCAGGTCCAGATGGTTTTACCATGAAATTTCTTCTTGTGTGCTGGGAGGTGGTGAAAGGGGAGGTGATGGGCACTTTTCATGCTTTCCATTCTCGGGGATCTTTTGAGAAAAGCTTGAATGCCACATTCATTGCTCTCATTCCGAAAGAGGGGAGGGGGGGGCGTTGGTTGTTAGGGAGAAAGTTTTGGATGGCATCATTTCGGACTCCAAAACGCTTTTGTCGGAGGTCGTCAGATTCTGGATTCAGTCCTTATTGCAAGTGAGTGTGTGGACTCCATAATGCGTAGTCGGGTCCCGGGTGTTCTTTGTAAGTTGGACATTGAGAAGGCTTATGACCATGTGAGTTGGAGCTTCCTTCTTTACATGATGAAGAGGATGGGGTTCGGTGATAGGTGGTGGAGATGGATGCATTTTTGTATTTCCAGTGCTCATTTTTCGATCCTTGTTAATGGTGCTCCTACTGGTTTTTTCTCTAGCTCAAGGGGCTTGAGACAGGGGAATCCTCTCTCCCCCTTCTTGGTCTTGTTTGTGATGGAGGCCCTTAGTAGATTGATGAGAAGGGCTACCGAGTTCGGTCTTTTGAGGGGCTTTCGGGTGGGTAGGGATGCTGTTTCTCAGTTGGAGATTTCTTATTTGATGTTTGCTGATGACACTTTAGTTCTTTGTGATGCGAATGTGTCCCAGATTAGATATTTGAGATGTGTTTTGATTTGGTTCCAAGTTGTCTCCGGCCTTAGGTGAATGTGGGCAAGAGTGTTTTGGTTTCGGTTAGGGAGGTCCTTGAGATTGAGGCTTTTGCTGACATTCTTGGTTGTCGTACCGGTTCATTTCCCATTTCTTACTTAGGTTTGCCTCTGGGAGCTCCTTCGAGGTGTGTGGGGATTTGGGATCCAGTGGTGGATAGATTTGAGAGAAGGTTGGCGGGTTGGAAGAAGCAGTATCTTTCCAAGGGAGGTAGGGTCATTCTGATTAAGAGCACCTTCTCTTGCCTTCCCACTTATTTTATCTCTCTTTTTCAAATTCCCTCTTCAGTAGCGGAAAGGATTGAGAGGTTGCAGCGTAATTTTCTGTGGGCGGGTGGAGGTGAACAGTTTAAGTTTCATTTGTTGCGATGGGACCAGGTTTGCAGGCCAATCCGGAATGGTGGGTTGGGTCTCTGTAGATTGGTGCCTTTTAATAAGGCCCTCCTTGGGAAATGGTTGTGGAGGTTTGGTGTGGAGAGACGTTGGCTTTGGAGGATGTGGCTTGTCGTTTTGGGGAGATGAGAGGAGGGTGGAGTTCTCTCTAGAAGTAAGGGAACCTCGGGGGGTGGGGGTTTGGAAATTTATTCGGAAGGGTTGGGATAATTTTTCCAAACACATTCGGTTTCGTCTTAGAGATGGGTGGAGGATTTGTTTTTGGGAGGATGTGTGGTGTGGTTATGTTCCTCTCGCCATCGCTTTTCCTCAGCTTTACAGGATTGCTTCAGATAGGCAGGACATGGTGGTTAACTGTTATCATCTTGATAATGGGAGACTGGTTTGGGATGTTCGATTCAGACGTTTCTTTCAGGACTGGTAGATCGAGGAGGCCATTCGTTTCTTGGAGCTGTTGTATCGCCAGAGGATTGTGGAGGAGGATTCAGATTGTCGGTCATGGGTTGCAAACTCTCAGGGGCGGCTTGAGGTGAGGTCTTTCTTCAGGTGTCTCTCGTTTGATCCTGGAGTTCGTTTTCCTTGGAAGTCTGTTTGGCGTTCTAAGGCTTCTCTCAAGGTGGCTTTCTTTGTGTGGACTTCGGTTCTGGGAAGGATCTTAACCCAGGATAATTTGAGAAGAAGCAGCCAGGTGGTGGTCAGTCGTTGTTATATGTGTCTTCGTAATGAGAAATCAGTGGATCACCTTCTCATTCATTACTCTTTGGCTAGAGAGTGTTGGGATTTGATGCTTGGCTTATTTGGTTTTTCTTGGGTTATGCCAGGATTCTCTAGAGGGTTGATTGAGGCGTGGAGAGGTTGCCCTGTGGGGGCTCATTGTCAGGATGTGTGGAGGGCTATGCCGCTTTGTGTGTGGTGGTGTATTTGGCTTGAAAGGAATATGATATATTTTGAAGGAAAGGCGATGTCGATTTCGGTGCTTAAATTCTCGATTCTTTCCACTGTTTTTTGTTGGGTTTCAGGGAGAGATCATAGTTCGATGGAGGAGATTGTTGACTTTTTGGCCTCCTTGAAGGCTTGAGGCCTTTGTGGTCTTTTGTATTTGTCTTGGGATCCGCTCCCCTTTTGAGCATTTTTTAATAAAATTTTATTTATCAAAAAAAAAAAAAAAATTGTTATATTAATTTCCCTTTTGAAAAATAAACTAGCCCATCAACACAACCCAACCCAATTTGATATAATTCTCTCTTTCAAAAATAAAATTAACCTAGTCCATTCATTAATTCCTAAGCCCATTTCCTGTAATCCCTTGTAAACCCTAAACATTATTCTCTCTTCTCTTCATTCTATCATCAAACTTAACCCCTGCCCCTCAAGCGACCGACATTATAGCGTACCTCAAAGCTCAGGTTAGTGCGTTCTCTTTCTCCCTCTCTCATTTTCCTTTCACCTGGTGTCACTTCTACTATCCTTTTCATATTGGCATAATGATCGAAATCGTAGTGGGAGTGCGTTTCAACTGTGTGAAACTTTGGAGATCAAACGCTGAAGATCGATATATGTAGAGATACATTCTTATTGTTTATTATTATTTATTGGTATAAATAAACGAGTTTCCGAGCCGAGCTCGCACTACCGAGCTGAGCTCGGTCATGGGTAGCTAAAGCTCGATTGAGCTTGAGCATCTCTTTGGCTGTGATGAGCCGAACCTGAGCACACCAAAGCTCGGCTTGGCTCGTTTGCCGTTGTAAAAAGCCATTAAGGGTTCTTCAAGGTGATTTTAGGAAAGCTTTTGATCATGTGCACTGGAACTCTCTTAATAATTGCGTTTCATATTTGTAGAGGCTCTAGGTATAGTTAATATCGGATTAGGGGATGCCTGAGATCTTCTAATTTGTGGTCAAAATAAAGTGGAACTCAAGGTTGACAAAATCATAAAACTATACACATTATTCTCATATTAATCTAAAGTATGGAATCTACAAATATCATTAAAAGCGTTGAGGTTGTTAATGATAAAACTAAAGGGTCCCGTTTGGTTTAGTTTTATGAAGGAAGCTTTTTTTTTAATAAGTAAAGATGTATTACTTATCAAAAAAAAAAAAAAAAGAAGTAAAGATGTATTCAAAAAGCCTTCAAAAGGGGAACGCATCCCTCAGAAACAACACAAGACCTAATATGACCTCTAAACTCTCAAAGAGTCCAAAAAAAATCAACAATCTCATTCATAGATTTACAATTTCTTCCAAAAACCCAACAAAAAAGATTACTAATAATGGAGAACTTCAAGAATGCCAATAGGAGTCTCTTTTCCTTCAAA